TTTTTGCTCCTCGAATGACTTCAGGGCACTTTTGGCTAGCTGGACTGTTGTGGGGATCGAACTACAGCAACCTGAGGCTGACAACTTTGTGGAAGCAGCCACTTAAAGAACTGAGCTAGGGCCAGGGCCCCAGGTGCTAAGGATTGAACCTAGAGTCAGGCACATATTAGGCAAGTGCTCTACCACTAAGCTACATTGCCAGGTCACAAACTTCCTTTAAGTGGAGACGTGAGGAATGAAAAGCAGTTGGCCACTTAAGGAGGACAGCAGGCTAGAGAGACAAAATTCTACAGATCTCTCAATATATCGGAAGGCTGCCCCCTGTAGGGGTGCACACCCGTAACCCCAGAGCTCAGCATGCTGAGCAGAAGGAAAGCTAGGAGTTCTGGATCAGCCAGAAAGCAAACCAAACCAGAAACATATCAGAAAGTTCCGAGTACAAAGAGATACTGAAGAAAGGAAACCCTATAGCTGTAGCATCCATAATGAGTGAGACAACAGTATGAGATGAAGCTAGAAAATTCTTCAGCACTCCCAAGATGCCGATCTGCTGGGGCTCCTACAGATTTGTACCTTTTTGGCACAAGGCAGTTTATGTAGCACTGTACCCACTGCCATTTTACCAGTAAACATTTTAGATGCTCAAAGCACATCAGGATCAGGAAATGCTTAATTTCTTCTGCTATGAAGGTCCTTTAATATACGACATGTTTATACCAAGGTGAAAGTATCTACTTACTGTGTCAAGTATTTCTTTGGTATGAGCTGCTGACAAGCAAAACCTGGCTCTAGACTCAATAATTGGGGTGGCAGGAAATCCTACCACAACGACTCCGATGTTCCGCTTCAGCATCTCTCGCCCAAAGGCACTGCAAAGGGCAACAAGAGGGAAAGAAGTGAAGATGAATATTAAAGCACAGTATGCACAGGTCCCGCTCTCCTGAAGGTAAGTACCAGATGGTGAGGACGCACTGGAGACTTCTAATAGTCTTCTCTATCCTCCCAGGTCACAGAAATTACTTCTATATAATTACATTTACTCAATATAATTACTGTTCCTTTGCTTTTCAAATGTCATCTGGTTTCATTACACATCTGGACTTCTCAAATACACTGAAAGCTCTCCCAGGGTGAAGCTTTCCATTATGTACGCTTCACAAAAATCAAAGAAGCTGGTACGGCCAGCACACCTGCTAGATATCCAGTAACATGCCCTGACCTCCCTCCACTGCTCCCCACAGGCACTGTCCTCAGCTCCTGTGACCGCCTAGCTGTTCTCCCGCCGACTATGCACGTCGTGCATGTGGCCTCTGCACAGACGCTACGCTCTCCAAGTGGCTAGCTCTAAGTGCCTTCAAGCCCTTGCTCAGTTGGACCCTCCCACTGAGGCTTTCCCTGCAAAGCTGTCGTCTGCCTATACGAGGGCACTCTCATTCGCATGCTCAGCCTGTAGTTCCTACCACCCTCCCCCTAGAATACATGCTCCCCAAGGCCAGCGATGTCTGTGCTTCAGGTACTGGTCTACTCAAGTATGTGGAAAGCAGCACTCACTTCCAATGTTTAATAAAACAATGGTACGTTGGCCACCTTGCCATCTGGTATCTACTTTGTCAACTACAGAACATCTAATAAGTAAAGGTTAACACAGTAAAGATAAGACAATTTTTCCTAACAAAATACATAAGCTTCAGTCTCATACCACAGATGCCTTCAGTGCAACGGGAAGAAAACGTACCCAATTTTGGCCGGCATGTAGAGCATCAAAGGCACCACTGGAGAGTCTTCATTTCCATAAATAATGAAGCCCATCTCTTTCAGGCGTCTCCTGAAATACCTGGTATTTTCAGCTAACTGCTGCACACATTCTTTGCCTGGAAAATCAGGGGGAGAAAAAACAAACTAATATTGAGTAAAAAGGGCTAGCTCAGTGGTCTAAGCACTTGCCTGGCAAGTGCAGCAAGTGCAAGGACTCAGGTTCAATCCCTGGTACCACATGCCGTGCCAGCCCCAAACAGGGATGAAGCCACACAGAAACTGGGTGTGGTGGCTCATACTTATAATCCCAGTGCTAGGGAGGCTGAGACAGGAGGATCACTACAAGTCTGAACTACATAGCGAGACCTGTACCAAATAAATAAATAAATAAATAAATAAATAAATAAATAGTTAAATATTAATAATAAAAAAAAGTTCCTTCAAGAGTTTCATTTTATATTACCATTTCTTTAAAAGTCTTACAGCAATAGTCTCCCTGTAATAAGTAAAATCATTTTACTTGTTTTGCAGTGCTGAGGCTTAAACCCAGGGCACGGTAGGCAAAAGTTCTACGATTAAGCTCTATCCCTGGCCGTAAAATCTTAGTTCTAACCTTACTTTTGTTCATCCTTTCTAAAACACAAGCAGACTAAAATACAAATTTTTCTGACTGACAAATATTTGGCTACATGTTAACATTATGGTAGGTTAATCTATGAGCCGATATCCTAACAATGGTTCTGTTACGCATGCCAAGTTCAAACTCAAAACATCAGTTTGCAAAGGGCTAAGGACTGTTGCACAATCTTAAGCACAAATACTTAAGAATAAGAGACTACAGTGATTTCCCACACATATTAGATATTTTTTAAATTTTTATTTATTTATGTGTGTGTGTGTGTGTGTGTGGCCAGCTCAGCCCACCAGGGGGCGGGGCTGGCTGGCATGTGGTGCTGGGGGATTGAACCCGGGTCCCTGTGCTCTGCTAAACTTGTTCTAAGTAGGTGCTTTAGACCACTGAGCCATCTTACCAGCCCTAGACATTTGTGTAAGTGGAAGCATGATACAGTTCATATGACAAATCAATCAACCAATCAGATACAGATAACAAATGTCGGGGCCGGGGAGATGGCTCAGTAGAATAAGCGCTTGCCTGGCAAGCGCAAGGGCCAGAGTTCAAGCCCCAGTTCCGCCAAAACAAACAAACAAACAAACAAACAAACAAACAAACAAATGTCCTCAGACTTAGAACATTAACATATCCATCATTCATGGGATGCAACATTAGATAAAAACTAGCTAAAAGCACAAAACTAATACTCTGTGTAATTTCAGGCTGATCAGAGAAAAACAGCCTTAGATTAGCCTAATTATGAACACCAAGGAACATCACTTATGCTATGTGGCTTTCAAAGAATGAAAGCAGGGCTGCCAGAGAGCTTAGTGGACTAAAGTGCTAGCTTACGTAGAGCACAGCAGGTAGGGTTCGATCCCTGGCCCTACCCCTGGGGCACACAGAGATGGTGACTGTTGTAATCCCAGCTCTCGGCAGGCTGAACACAGGTAGATCCTTATGAGTCCAATTTATATAGTAAGACCCTGTACTAAATACAAAACAAAACAAAACGAATAAGAGAGCAGACAATGAAGTGTATTATATTTAAATATGTTGAAAATTGATAAGATAGGGCTGGCTCAATAGATCAGTGGATTAAAGTGCCTGCTTAGGCAGACCCAGAGGCCGGGGGTTTGATCCCTGGCCTGCTGTGCTGGCCCCACCCCTTGGGGCACACTAAGATGGCAAATGAGACTGGGCATGGTGGTGTGTGCCTGTAATCTCAGCACTTGGGAGGCTGAAAATATGAGGATCACTGTGAGTCTGATCTGTGTAGCGAGACCCTGTAGACCCTGTACTAAATACATTAAAAAAAATAAAGAGAAAAAATTCATGAGACAAGTACCCCAATTCTTCCCAAGAAATATCAACATGTGTTTACTCTACAAAAAGGGGGACTGCCACTTCTAGTTATAATGGGGGGTTACAGATGCTGCATTTACTTGATTTTTTTTTTTTTTTTTTTTTTTTTTGGTAGAACCAGGGATTGAACTCAGGCCCTTATGCCTTCCAGGCAAACACTTATTCTACTGAGCCATCTCCCCAGCTCCATTTACCTGATTTTTGTACAAAAAATTTTTAGTAAATAAGAAAATGTAATAGAAAACTTTGATAGGTCATTTGTAACCCTCAACATCTTTGCAATACAATTTATGCTGAAGCTCAAATCCAAATCTCTGCATATGTTCTACAAGGGCTCTACCAGTGAGCTAAGGGCTCTACCAGTGAGCTATATCCTCAACCCCAGGAAACTATCTTAACTACTGCCAAAGGTATTACAAAGTTGTATTTGATATATTCTAGCCATCTAAGAGAGTAATTTTTTTTTTTTTTTTTTTTTGGCGGAACCAGGGATTGAACTCAGGCCCTTGTGCTTGCCAGGGAAGCACTTATTCCACTGCGCCATCTCCCCGGCCCCTAAGACAGTAATCTTTTAAATTAAACTTTCATCCCTATTTCTCAGAATTCTCAGCCATACTATCTTAAACCTGGAAAGCACTAATGCATTATTTCTCAAACTTCATAAGCCTGCTAGGACAAGTACTAAAGAGTGTTCTGTGAGCTAAAACTTTTCCAAAGTTTCAGGCCTGGCCCAAAAACCAGAATAAGACCTGCATGTAAAGTGAGCAAACAGGTCTGACTATGTGTTACATTAGGTGTACATAAAGTAGCATGACAACGGCGTGTGCGTGTGTCTTAAATGGCAACAATGCCAATTACGTGTAGTTACGTTCCAAAAAATACAATATGTGTTCATCTGCTCAAATAACAATATAATTTCCAATTTAGCAGAGTTTTATTTTTTATTTTATTTTTTTGGCAGAACCAGGGATTGAACTCAGGCACTTGAGCTTGCCAGACAAGCACATATTCTACTGAGCCATCTTCCCGGCCCCTTAGTGGAGTTTTAAAAATAACTATACTGTAACCAACAAAATTAATCTCCAGCTTCAAAAAATAACACTTTTGGTGTTAACTGAACTCTTTGAAAATAAAGAGTACAACTACAAAGGGTGTTTGGTCAGAGAAGATTCCCTAGCTCACATTATATTCCATTTACACAGCTCCTAATCATCTTAAATTTCCTGGATCTGTTGACATAAACTGTCTTCCTGGAAAAATGAAATAAAATTACTCCTACTCCCCAGACTTATATTTGTCAATTAATTGTGGTGGGCTGGAAGGATCTGAGGTTTAGGAGAAACTGAAGAACCTCTCCACTCTCTTTTCTTCTTACACGCCATAATTCCAAAGCCGGTAAGCATAGGTGAATGAGGATTTCTTAGCTTGGAATCCCCCAAGTAGAACAGATAGCCAATGTGGGGTCACTTTCCTGTCACAGGAACAAAACACTCACCACCCACAACCTAGAGGGGGAGAGGTTTTTTGGCTCCCAGTCTCCAGTAGGTTTAAGAAAAGCTGGTGGCTCCATGGCAGGAAGAGCAAGTGCAAGGCCCTGGAGGAGACCAGCTGTCCACCGCACAGAGGCCAGGAAGCAGAAGGGCAGGGAGGCATGGGGTCATACCCAGAGCCCCCTCCTCCCAAGCCAGCTACAAAGCCCATGACCTAATGACCTTCCCAACTGGTGAGACTTCTGGGGAACATTTTAAATATTTATTTATTACATTTATTTATTGTGTGTGTGTGTGGCCAGCTCAGCCCACCAGCGGGCGGGTCTGGCTGGCATGTGGTGCTGGGGATCGAACCGCGGTCCCTGTGCTTTGCCAAGCTTGTTTCAAGTAGGTGCTTTAGACCACTGAGCCAT